AATGGGATCTGGTGGTAAGCTTTTACCAGATCAATTTTTGAAAATATAGTTTTACCAGCTAAGCCAGATGAAAAATCCTGAATAGGCGGTATGGGATAACGATCCTCTAAAGTGACCGAATTTAACTTTCGATAGTCACCGCATACCCGCCATTCATCATTCTTTTTTTTAACTAAATGAATGGGACTAGACCATGGGCTATTTGAAGGAGAAACTATNTCTATAAGAATGTCAAACTCTTTTTTAGCTGCTTTAAGTTTGTCTGGGGCTAAACGACGAGCCTTTGCACAAACCGGTGGACCTCTTGTAATGATAGAATGAGTAACATTGTGCTTTTTAGGACTCTTTAGAAAAGATTGATTTGTAATACCGGGAAATTTTGACATAAGTCTATGATACTCAGTATTTCCGCAAATCGTAGTTAAACCTAATGATTTTCCGCGAACCCGTGTACCCTTAGCTGAAAATCTCGAAGTACTATCAATCAATTTGCGATTTTTTATGTCAACCAATAAACCAAAAAATTCTAAGAAATCTGCACCCAAGATAGGTCGCACTACTTCAGCAATAACAAAATTCCATTTGAATTGCCTTTTTAAACCAAAATCTAACGTTAATCTACGAAAACCGTATGTGTTTATTTTTGTTCCGTTCGCAGCTTAGATTGCTATCTCCGTAGTCGGTTGCTTATGAATGTGTGGGTCGCGTGGAAAAACTGAAATGTACGCGGCAGTATCAACTGGAAAATTAAAACCTAATTTTCGGTCAAATATGTGGAGGCGACTGAACTTTAACCCACTATCTGTCGTCACCGACAGAAGCGGAATTCAGTTTTCCGAGTATGAACATTTACCGACACATTTTTTAGCATTTTTACAAAATTTAAAATGGTTCCAACAATACTGTTTTTCCGAAGTTTTATTGACATTATTCGAATTCGAATAAGGCCTAGAACCAGACCGTTGACTAAATTTACTTCCATTGTAACTTTTTTGTCGAAAAGTCAATTTTTCAACTTTTTCGGAAAGTTCAGAAATTTGAGATTGTAACTCTTTTAAATCAACGGAAGAAATATTATGTTCTGTACTTGAAGTACCGAAACAAGAAACTTCGTTTATTTTATCCGCGATTTGAGCCAAATCATCAAGTTTGTCTTTACTAATTGATAATATTTTCTGAATATTAATAGGGAGTCGCTGAATAAACAATGTTTTTAATACATCGTCAGATATTTGACTACCAGCTAACGATCTCATTTCATGTAATAGTTGTGTTGGTTTTCTCTCACTCAAATACAATTCCTGTAACAAAGTCCTCAATCGCGAACTTTCGGACTGTGTAAAACGTTTTACAATACGTTCCTTAAGAACCGTGTATGGATTATCTGTAGGTGGAACCTCAATGATATCTTTAACGTAGGAAAGAACTTCCATATCTAACGCTGCAACGACGCAGTGGAATTTTGTTAATTCTTTTTCAATTCCCGACATCACAAAATTTGATTCTACTTGAAGAAACCATAAATTTATTTCGGTTTTCCAAACGGGTGGAGCTCGAAATGCAACACTGGCTATTTCGTTTTCAGCCATTATACT